CTTAGTATCAATTGACCATTTGACCTTCTCATAAACCTTTCTTCACTCAAATAAATACTATAGTCTTATATTTCATTAGATTTTAGTATGTGATGGCTTTTTGGAGTGCTACTCATTTCATATATACACATACTAAATTTCACTTCCTAAAATTAGCTTTAATATATTTTATAAGAAAATAAAGTTACAAATTATATTAACATAAGATAAATAAGTCTCTTTTATGAAAAACAAATGGCACCACAATTTCATATCATTTCTTCTTGAATTAAATAAGAGCATTTTTAAAAGCTTATAAAGAAAGAAAAAAATTCTTAAAATTTTAAATCCAAATTCAAAATACACTATGAAAAAACCTTCAAAAAATAATCTTAAAAAGTAAATGGCTCTTTTTTTATTCAAAAAAGCACCGCTAATTCATACTAACTTTTTTTGAAGCAATTGAAAGCTTTTTGATAAACTTATAAAAAAAACTCTTCAAAATTTCAAATTCAAATTAAAAATATACTATAAAAAAATCTCCAAAGAAAAATCCTAAAAAATGGTTGTTTTTTTTTTTTTATTCAAAAAGGTACTACAAATTCATTCTAATTCTTCTTGAAGTGAAATAAAGCATCCTAAAAAGCTTATAAAGAAAAAAATAACTTCTCAAAATTCCAAATCCAAATTCAAAACATACTATAAAAAAACTTCTACAGAAAAACCTTGAAGATATATAGTTATTTCTTAAGAGAGAGAATTCAAGCAAAAGAGAAGGGAAGAATGGTCCAAAAGTCAACACCAACCTATATTACTCTACTTTAGCCTATATTTCTTTACTTTAGTACCATTCCATTCTATTTCAAGCTTATACCAACTTATCTTGACTTATATCTATAATTAATTTTTTTTTCTTTTTTCCTTTTTTTTTTTTAATTGCAAATCAAATTTTCATAATATTTTATATTATTTTTATATATTATAATACTTTCCAGATTAACATGATTAGGTTTTTTGAGATGGACATAAGTTAGATAATTGAGCATACAAAGATAAAATAAGTTAGGCTAAACTTGAAAAAATGCCTTAGTTGGTGATGCTCCCAAGTTGGTTCTTATTTTTGATTTGTTGAGAAGGTAGACTATGAGTGTAAAATTCATTCTTCAACCTAAGTTTCAAGATGGTCTCAATTAAGAGTTACTTGTAATAATTAAGAGTTTCTTGTAATAAGGATTAAAAATAATAAATAAATAAATGAAAAGTTAAGTAAAAATTTCACTTCAAAGATAACTTGCTTATAAATCAAAGGTTCAAACCTCACCAAGGCTCACATGTAGTATATAAAGGTGTCTAAGAGAGGCCACGAGGCATTAGACTTATCCTCCTAACTACCTTCAAGGTGCTACAATCCATACGGAACTTATGTACCTCCTTTCTTACAAGAACTAAACTAGTTATTGGTCTTCTTATTTTCTACTAGTAAAACCAATATTTTTGCATTTTTGACTTCACGATGATATGTAAAAACATCCAACTATGCTAGAAACCTTGCAAGGTCTTCAAAACTTATTCCATTTTTTCATAATGGCTCCAACAGTGGTAAAACTTATTTTTATCAAAGTCTTCGAAATTGCTCTGAAAATTCCTTAAAAATTTTAAATAAATTTTAAATAAATTCTAAAAATATTTCTAAATAATTTCTAAAAATTCCTTTAATAGTTCTAAAATACTAATATCAATTTAAGGCTTTAATTTCCTATCATAGTGATTTTTTATAATAATAAAAATAATTTAAATCTACTACAAATCGTACTTTCTATATAAATAACTAAAAAGACATGAAGTTCTTTTTCATGCTTCTTCTAATTATTAACTAATATTTATAGTTTTTTATAAATAACACATATAGATAGAATATTAATATAAATATTCAACCTAATAAATAATCCTTAATACTCAATAATTAGTAAAAAATACTAAAATAATTAAGATGATTGCCTCGAAGACTTACTAAGACTATTTTTACAAGCAACATTCTAATTTTCTATTTGTCTAAATATTTCTACACTATTCACCATATGATCTAATTTTAAGCACTCTAAATGTATCTTTTTATCCTAAAATAACTAGTGATTTAATTTGATGACGCTTATAGATTGTTGTCATTGTTGTCTCTGCCAATAGATTGATTAGAATATTTTTTCAAAAAGGCATATTTTGCACCTTATCTAAGATTATTTTGTTCTTTCACTTTGATACTCTATTTTGTTGAGGTGTATGAAATATGGATACTTACTTGTTGATACCATGAAGATCACAAAATCTAAAATATTCTAATGATTTATACTCTCTACTACTATTAGATTTGAGAGTAAAAATTTGAGAATCTATTTAATTTTCTTAATGGCTCTTAAAGATGCAAAAAAAATTAAACCTTTGGCTTTTATGTCTAAAATTTAAATCCATATTTTATAGATATAATCATTAATAAAAATTAAAAATTACTTAGCACCACCAATAGAATATATAATCAGCAAATTGTATAAGTGAAAGTAAATGATTTCCAAAAGTTTTGAGGCTCAATGTTCTACTTGTTTCTAGAAGATTATTTGAATATTCTTAACTAATTGACATACTTTACAAATTTTATTCAAGGCTGGCAACTCTAAAATATCAATGGCTTGTTTACTCACTTGTAAAAGACTACCATGCATTAGATGTCTTAATCATACATGCTAAAGTCTTCCTAGATTTTGTTTTTGTAAAATTGTTCTAGTCTAGATATTGGAGCTATTCGAAGACTAGAGATAGTAAAGTTGACTTTGACATGTATCAAGGATTCAAATAGAGATCTCTTTTAAGAAAAAACCAAGGATTCTATAATATATGCTTCAAGGCTTCTAATCAATGATTATAAATTATAAAAACTAGACTTCACATCTCTATTATCTTTTACAATAGTTTTGTATGGTTGCTACAATATTAAGACTAAATATTGACTCTCCATAAATAACATAAGATTTTTTGAATGGATTATTTGGCCTATGGAAATCAAATTTCTATTGAGCCATGGAACATAACAACCATCTTTGATTATTTTTATTTCACCATTTGGCATTGGGAGCTCAATACTTCCTTTGGTATTGATCACATGGTCTTATCTCAAAATTGATGTCACCACTTCCTATGAATTATTCTATTCTAAGGTAGAAAACATGTTGGAATTATTAACAAAGTGGCAAGATGTCTTTGGATCAAGTACCTAGTCATGATCAAAGACGATGTCTATTGAGGGAGCAACAAGAGCTTCTTCAATGCCTTCATTAGTAAGAAGCAGAGAGCTATCCTTGAAAAACTCATCAATTATATGAACTTCTATAGATCTCCTTGTATAATATCTATATGGCTTCTGAAAATTTGATGGAAGAAATATCAAAATAGTACATATCTTTGTAAAGTGACCTAGTTCACCATATTAATTAAAAGTGAGTTGATTTGCTTATGCGTAGTTAGGACAAGACAAAAAAAATTGTCCCTTCTTTAGAAGTTGCTATTTGCTCCTTAATCATAGTATGAAAGTTAATCACTTTGAATGACAATTCAAATCCTCATGACTAGAACTTCTTCTTGCAATAATCCTTGCCAAAGTTTCAAGTTAGTTTCTTCTAAGTGTAATTTGCTAAACAATTCAGAAATAGGAGTTACTTTCTTATTTTAAACAATATGTACAAATTGATTGAAACAAGATGGCAAGTAAGTGAAAATTTGTAAACTATTGTGGCATTGTCAGTTTGTTGGCTTATAGCTTGTAGTTCTTTTACTAACCCATAGATTAGTTGCATGAATGCCTATACATTCATATTATCTATCATACAAGGTACTAACCATTTGTTTTGCATGACCATAATGTCCGCCAAAGTATATATTTGATATAATTCTTGAAGCTTCAACCACGATGCCTTGGGTCCTTTAAATCAAAGATAAAATCTTATGGTCCTTTTGCATATGAAAGCTTCATAATATCAAAAGCTCTTTTCCTCCTTTTACACTAAAGATCCAACTATTAAGGTATTGGTGTGGGATTGTCAAGTCTCTTGCTTGTCATTGTTGCAAATCTTGATCCACATGTTGTTGTAGTTGAACCGCTCATTGCTTCAATTCTTTTGTCATCAATGGATTTGATGCAGTTCCACAAATCTTCTTTCTCAAATACGTGCTCCATTGTGGTCTTGCACAGTCTGTAATTTGCTAGTGATGCCAGCATCTTGTCCCTCAAACTGACAATATCTAAGGTACCCATTATTCTAGATCTGACTGAGAGAATACTCTCAATGTTTTCTTGCATATCTCACTTGACTACACTAAATGATCCATTATCGTTCTCACTCTCCAAGAATATTATTTTGATCTGATACCATGATGAACTTAACACAAAATACTGCTTTATTGAACTATTAGGTTAATACAAAAACAGTCTTCTGTATCGGTGAGCAGCAACAGCAGATGGGAGTAATAGAAGCCACTGGATAGCTTAGAGGACTTAGCTACTATGTTGTAATAAATGTAAGGTAGATACATAGCCAAGTTCTTAGTTTACATGACAAATGTTGATAGTGTCAACATTAATGTGGTTTGGTACTTCTTTTGAACTGTCTTGTAATATTTTCTCTGTTAAAAATATTCGTTTCTGCATTACCAATTTTTATTTTATCTTTTATTTTGTCACTGTTTAGAATTACGGGCATAACGACATGTCTTTGAGAGTTCGATGAAACCAACTTCAATCTCAGGACAGAATTGCAATGCACATTCCTACAGACAAAGAATTAGAGCTGCAACTTTTGCTAATGCAGATGAGGTTTCTAATGGGAAGGGAGACGAGTGGACGCCCCAACAACATGACCACCATTCTGAAATGCGTCGGCACGTATCTAGAAGAATCGTATCCTGTGGTTTAGTTTTACGACAAGCTTCGGTCAAGAACCATGGAACTAGAAAGCAAGATTTCTTGTTCACTGGTATGTGGAGTAAGATGCTATTAGTTTTTCAAATTGGAAGAATATATTCACAAAAAGATTATGTCCAGGTAAAACCTTCTGACCATGTCATGTTTCCCCGCTCAGGTCAACATTCTTGTACACAATCGGGCATGTTCAAATGAGTCCAACTGTTACATTTTACTAGCTCCAGCTAATCTGCGCTTGGATGCATTTGAGACAGCGATGTTCGCCAAGGTCTCAGACTTTCCTGCTGTGCCGCGGCTACTTTCAGGAGTATAGTGGCGTAACCATTCCCCTTGGTACCACTGCGTAAAATCCACACCCAAGTTCAGAATTTGCAACAAGAACTACTGATACGAAACAGTTATTGATGTGAAATGTCCAAAACGGCGTCCTGTTTATCTCAAATGAGTGGGTCAATTTCGACTTCTTGGTTTTGTTATAATAAAGTGCCTCTCTTCGTCAATCACTGACCTGTTGGGGGCGCATAATCTTTGTGTCGGTGTCATCAAGGGATTCCTTCCAATGTGCAAGATATCCAGCCATACGTGGAACAGCAAACAATACTGGGAAAAATTCTGTTGGGAATCCCATTGCCCTGTAGTAACAAAAATAAGAATTAGAAAAGTAAACAGATGCACTCATTTCTTTCTTTCCACTTGGATAATGTTTACGTTCTAAGCGGTGGATGATGTGGTATGCTAATTACTAAGAGTAGAAATGCTCACCTGTAAATTAAACCAGAATAGAAGTCAACATTAGGATAAAGTTTCCTCTTCACGAAGTACTCATCAGAAAGGGCCGCCTTTTCCAGAGCAACGGCTACCTTCACTCAAGTCCAAGCCCCATGCGATTAAGACATCTTTTTTGAATCAGAATTTGACACAAGGGCGGGTGCCTTTCATATGGGTTGAATAAGTGAGAAAGGAGGTGCAGTTACGCTGTTTGGGAATTAATGAGGACTCAAGATAAACCTAATAAACTTGAAAAAGCTTTATCATAAATTGCAGGATTCTTATACCTCAATGAGTGGGTCACGACCTACGATGGCGAACACTTCATCCGCCAGAGTTCGAACCACCTATTTTGCCAGTCGAAAAGGGACCACGATTTTAGAGAAACGTAGTATACCTATAATGTAAAACACAATCCACAAATATCAATGTTCTACCAAGAACCTGCAGCCATGCTGGGAGAAACTTTATACCCGTTACACATAGTACGAACTTGCTCTAAGTACTTTCTCAAATTTTCACACTGATATAGATTGTAAACTTGAAGTTATAACTATGATGTGGCACACAATGATGACTTGCAACAGAAAGTCTTTCAGTACGAGGTGGTTTGAAAGGATGAAAATTGGAAAACCTTAGCACGAGGATCGTAATTCTTGTAAACACGGTGGCCGAATCCAGACATCTTCCTTTTCCTGCTCAGGGAAGACCGATTATCAAAAATAGAATCCTGTATTCCTCAAAATCTCTTCACAAAATAGCAGAAGAATGAAGCAAGAAAAGTTCTCTTGTTTCAATTTATTTCGCTCATGAAAATGTTTGATCACGCCTAGTACCATATAACCAATGATAACCATACCCCATGGTAAGTCAACTTGTTCTTCATATTCTCAATTGAAAGATCAAAGATAACTACAAGCAGACATACAAGCAAAACTAAAATCCTCGTTAGAGTGTAACGCCAGTTCTATAAATAGACCTGTTTTTCACATCTTCCAAAAACTCGGGGATCTTCTCAACACTGCCAATTTCTTTCAACATCTTCAAAACAGCCTGCATGATGACAAAGCATGTGGTGAGAAACAACGGTCAACATTCGCTATGTTTGCCACAAAGAATTGTGCAAGCAATCCAAAAGGTCCGCGACGTGGCTTGGGGACCGTACGCTAAAACTTAAAACGACCAATGGTGTACTTAGTACATATGAATGTACGAATGAACCACTTTTCAGCACTACACAAAAATGGTAATTAAAGGGAAAGACGAAATTAGATACAGGCTGTGTTCGACAATAAATGAAACTGATTTAGATGAAATGAGATACTTAGACCTCGTTTGCACCACCATGCAATGGGCCATAAAGGGCTCCTGTAGCTCCAGCCAAAGCCGTATACACATCCACACCACTGAAACACAGCACAATCAAAAACCATCATTAATACTCAAGCCTCTGAATTCAATTTCTTACGTAACTGTAAGGTGTTACAGATGTAACCAAAAGGTACAGTTGGCCGGGCAGTACCTTGAAGCAAGGTGGCGGGCAGCAGCAGTAGAGCAATTCATCTCATGCTCCGCATGCAAAATGAAAAGTATGTCGAGCACTCTGGCTAGCCGGGGGTGTGGCTTGTAATTTCTGTCACCCCTGCTCAACCAATACCATAAGCACCCTATTATGGTTTTAAGTTTACTGGCAGTGAGCACGGTTTTGAACCACTGGCAATGTTAAGATGTACATACAACTACATGAAAAAGGCAATTCTGGAATATTTTAAAAAGTTGTATAACCTAAAGTTCTAAAGAAAATGTCTGCATAAACTACAGTAAACTTGTATTATTGATACATAACTCCTGTACTTGATACACATTGTGTAAGGTCAAAGGGTAGTTTAACATGTACGATTCGATGCAACTGGTACATTTTGTAAGTGCGACACAAGTGGACAACAAAGAATCAACGTGAGCGAGACGTACAAAGAGTCCAACATGTAGAGGAAATTTTCAGAGTATGAGAGTTGATTGGAAGGCATCACTGGTGGTCTTCCAGCCATTCGCAGATATGCAGCTGCGGCTAAGGTCGGTACCTGATACAAAATAGACGAGGCTCTGAGTATCGTCAGGGAAAAATCCCAAGAGTGTGGATGGAAGGAAAGTCAATATATAAATCAAGCAAGTGGATATCTATTTCACTGACCTTCCCTAACACACGAACAATTTGCTTGTCTCTTACGGCTTTCGACTTGTACAAGTCTTGACCCTGAAACAAATAAGATCCTTGTGTTAAAAGACGTCCCTGACCACACACGATTACGCATAATTCGAAAATAAACGCCATTTGATCATCGTGCAAATAGGAATTACGCACAAACTTGAGTCTTAATTGGTGGGTGCCCACTAAATCCTCTACAATACTGTTTCTTACCGCTTTATAAAAATAAAATACATGAAGAGGTGTTCTGAAAAACAATTTCTTCATGTTGTCTCGACAGTGTCATAGGAAAAATATAGCAACATTTGGTACTGAACGCATGAAGAACATAAAATGCCACACAAAAATCAGCGACAGCTTTCAAAGGAATACATGGTAAAATTCAGCACCTGTAGAGCAGGATTGGCATCTGGATGGCAAGAAGAAAGAGCGCAGATGGATGCAACTAATGTGCCCATCGGATGGGCATCATGAGGAAGCGCAGCAATAACCGACTGGTTCACATCCACAATTTAATCGAAAGTCAATACTTTTGAAACCTTGGCTACTTAACCCAGGATTGTTTTTACTACATTGATCATGGAGACAATGTATCAAGCTCCTCAAACAATCAGCCATGCACGAATGTGCAAACACAAATCATCGTAATCACGGAAAGTCCGCGCTAAAAGTTTCTTTGAGTGCAAAGGACACAAAGCTACACTGTGACGGAAAAATAATCAAGACAATCAAAAAAGACCCTTGTATTCATTTGACTCAAAGGCAAGTAGGTCGTCCACGAAACTTGGTCTGTTGCGTACCAGGACTGTTTGAGGGACAGCCGAATGTTGAGCAACTGCACGCTCCCATCCAACCAACTGGGTTTTCGATGGCAGATTGCCATACACTGGAAAATCAACAATTAGTTCCAAGAGAGTATACAAACCCACCTTTATCGAACCAAGGTTTCCGAAATTCAGAAGACTTGTGTAGCCAACGTCTACGTGATGTGGCCATAAAAAGTTTTGCAGATGAAATAATCTGGTTCTTCAATAGATACTCACTCAACAAGTAAGCCACCTCAAGAAAGCTGCTCTTCTCAGCAAGCTCCTCAATAGGGTAACCCCGGTATCGCAAAATCCCTTTGTCACCATCAATGTATGATATGGTTGATCGAACTGGAGCTGTATTTAGATATCCAGGATCAAATACTCTGAGGCCCTGTCCATCTCCACCAGCAACTATCTGCAATTTCCTTACACAACCACTCGATTTTAGTTTAGTTTAGAGTTACGTATATAGAAATATCAAACAAGGAACATAATGTGGCAAACACCATGCGCTACGTCCATCACCAATTACAGATGTAGTTCATTAATAAAATGAATTCCCAATAAGAGCACCATATAACCTTCTGGAAGTCCGTGGCTTTCAATGTCCCGCCTTCGCTGATCTCGAACTCATACTTTTTCCCTGTCCTGTTGTCCACCACAGTTAGGGTTCCCGAACCTCCTGAAAATTTTGGAGCGATCTCAGCCGAGACAGCAAGAGTTTCCAGAGAGTGTGAAGAAGAAGTGTTCCCCGATTCTAGGTGATTTCGCAGAATGGCTACCCTCCTCGAACTCGATGTTGACAAACGAAGACCAATGTCTTCGTCGCAGCTTAATCTAGCTTCCATAGCTGCAACTCACAGCACAAGCCCTCAAATTATCATTCCAAACGCCTGTAAAGTGTACCCAACGGGCAAAAAATTACACAATAACCAAACTGTAATCACCCCGGAGCACAATCACCAACAGGAAACAACAAACCTCGCCACGGCCAATCGATTAATCACCTGTAAATCGAAAGAGGACGAAGCTGGAAACCTTCAAATTCGCGGCACAAGCAGATCGATTGCAGACAAATTACTGTCACACCTACAAGCCGGTTGCTTGTACCTCGATGATATGCGATTTGCCTGCATCCAAACTGCAAGGTCTTCACGAAAACCTATGGCGTCGTTTTCGTACTTCCAATGACGTCAAGCAACTAAAAAGTACTATCACAGTTAGCCAACTGAACCTAGACTAATCTCCTAACAACGTTTTCAGCGGAACTTCCGATTAAATTGGAATATCAATTTTTCTTCGATCAAAATCAGACTTGATCCACACACGGCATACAATATACATGTTTCTAGAATCACACAGAAGGTAGAGAATATGACGACATTGCGATGCTTTCCAATCTACACGAAAAACCAAGATGTGGCACCTCACCATCACTTCCGCATCATTTTTTATTTAACAAACTATATTTGCCGTGCCCGCGATAACAAGATCAAAAGAAGGTAATAAAATAGTCACAATCCATATGAGAGCGGAGAAAAAGATGAAGGGGTCGTGAAAAAGGCAAAGGAAAAAAGCTATGATGGAGGTGAAGGGCAGACCAGTCTTTCGAACTGGCCACCATCCTTCTTCACAGAGCTTGCGAGCTTCAATGCCCAACACGCATTTACTTCCATTCTGATGAGGGTGTGTTCATGGCAATGGCTTCCAGAATGATGCTTCTTACGCCATCTTCGCCTTCAACATCTTTGAGTGTCAACGTGGATAGCAGGCCTCGTCTCAGTCAGAAACGGGTGTCGAAAGCTTCGCTTGTGAAGCTGCGAAGAGGGAGATGGTGGAGCGATTGTGGCGTGAGGTTGCGCGGGCCTAGGGAGCGTGCGTCTGATGGGTGGGTGTCTTCAGCGAGTGGAAGCGCTCTGTCACAAGAGCAAGAGGTTTGGGTTTCAAGGGAGAATTGAACTTGTGGGAGTTCGTTTCTTAGGTTTGGAGTAACATTTCAAAGAAATTTGGGGTCTCTTTGTTCTCAAGGGTGTGATAGTACTTGGAAAATTATCTCTGGGTATTGTAGAAAATCACATCATCTGCGAATGCCAAGTCTTCCTGATAATTATTTCTGTTTAAGAAGAGCTGAAATGAATTGGACGCAAATAAAATTCTTACAAGTAGCTAATATCACAGAAATTGTGGGATCCTGCAGTTCAATTCTCTTAGGTATGAAAATTTGAGACCCTAAGGTGCTGTGAGTGCCATATCAAAGGATAGCTAAGCAACTAATAACCAGGATTTGACTCGTAATGAAACAGCAAACTCTGCAGAAATTTTTCAAAAGGAACATACGCATTTACATACAAGACAAAGCGTGTTGAAGATTAAAATTAGGTTAAAATTTAACAAAAGAGGCAATCACCTTTTTCTATCTTGTACTTCGTCTTAGTTCGTCCTCCCGTATCAGATTTGTCATAGTATTTGCATTCGTTTTGGCATTTCCGACCATTTCCTACTTTCATTTTATTTTTTTTTCTAGAGATGTGATCTTTTTAGATGCTGATCTGTCCTCCTGTTGCACGCACTATGTATTTTCAGAAGCGAACTAAGAGACTGAAGCTTGTGGTTGTCCGTAGCTTCTCAGCTTCCGTATCTGCGGCCTCAGAAGCAGGCCAGCTAGAGCATAGCCAGACTCTGGAGAGTTTTTTTGACGATACTGGAGAGTTTTTTGAAACTAAGAACGAGCAACCTGAGTGGATCAAAAAGGTCGTCGCAGCAGGCTTAGTAGAGAAAGGGTAAACTGACGACTTTTTTTCTAGTCCAATTCAACTCAATCCTGCCCCTGAATTTATTTCATCACTATCTATGATCTCAACACGCTTATCCTCAACAGTATTATATACAATGTCACTTTAAAGTCCTCTAGGAATAATTCAATATACAATTTTTGGAATGTATTTTCTGTTCGGATGTTTGATGTCTTTTCGCAAGGATGTGAGTATAATCCCCTCTCAGATCCAGTGTTTTGGTGGGGCCAGGAAGTATATCACTGGTACCACTCTTGAGGAGTTTAGAGGTGAACACTGTGGTGGCACACTGGTCTTTACTAGAGTTGGCAAGCGTCAAGGCAGTTGACGATGAAATTCGCTGCTGGCACGGGAACGTCGAGAAGCTACCTCACTCATGGGGCCCATTCGATGCTGTGTTTCTTGGACACTCACCTGCAATGGCCTTCTCAGCTTCCACGTTATTCGAGTCTGTCATCAGCCGCTGTCGCACGGGTAAGTTACACTTTCATATGTCAAGTTCACACTTCGAACTGCTTTTTCGATCAAGTTACAAGAGTATGCATTGATTTAGCATCTATTCACTTTACATTTACACTGTATAGTCTCTTCTACATGGGTATGGGAGAAAATTTCACTCATGCACCTTTGTTAGACGGAGGACCAGGTTCTCTGTAATGTAAACCCAGTTGAGTTCTGAAATCTCCTTAAAGGAATCACGTCTACAAGTTCTGCAGGAGCAAGGGTGGTGATAAATCAAAGTTGTGGGAAAAGCTTCTTAGCACCATACAGAGAAATGTACCCGCATATTCTCCTGCGTGATCTTCCTGAACCCGAGGAGCTGCAAAGCATGATAAATGGTTTACCACTGGAATTCGTTAGCTTCCAAAGTGATTCTTCGGCGTATTTGGTTGCTCTTGAGGTAATTGTTCCTCAATCTGCTGTTTTGCAGTTGTCACTGTTTGGCTGTTCTTAGTGTATCTTACTACTTGGTTATGTAGTAAGGGGCTCTTCTCAAAACGTAGAGTGAACTTGATTACCGCTGAAGTGAAGGACAGTGTTACTGATAATTTTTTCACTCTAGGACTCTCAGAATACTGTTTTATTTATTTATTTTTCTTCTTAATTAGATGTTTTCCTAATTAATAGAGGTGCGTACTGAGTGTGCTGTCCATGTATGTTTCCAACGTAAGTAGTGACAATCGTCTTCCTCACAGGTCAACGAATCGCCCAACAAAACAGAAAAAGACATCGACAACAAAGGTACTTCCAATTTGTCACATCATCTGTTCAAATTAAGTCACAAGGGCTTTGACATCTCTACCCAACTTTGATGAAAGGCGAGTGGCTATAACAAGCGGCTTGTAGGATAGTTAGTGAACTTTCAGCATGCCTGCTTGGTTTTAGTTGTAACCCGCCCTTACAAGTGCAGATATTAGCGACTTTCCGCTGTATGCCTCAGCCAAGGTGGTGCATGGGTTCGGTCGTGGAAGCAAGCAAATGGGCATTCCCACAGGTGTGCACAATATTGCTGGCCTCTTTTTTTTTGGGATTTGGTGTTTGCAATGTATTGAAGTTCTGCATTTGAACGTCAACAGTATTACTCTGTGCTCTAAGACTCACATACGTGGCTTCTTGAGCCAGCAAACCTCAACCCCGAAGAACTGCCAAAGGAAATATTAGACCTCCCCAAGGGCGTCTACTTCGGATGGGTGCAAGTGAAGGGAGAAGGCTTAGACGCTGGAGTTCAGAAGATGGTTATGAACGTTGGGAATCGCCCCACTTTCGCTGACAGTGATGCAGTTACCATTGTAAGTGGATAATTTCCTGGCAAGCGTTTATAAGGAAGCAATCCCCTTTATTTCGCATCTTGAGTTGTAGCCGGATTGACTATATTTTCTGGTCTCATTGTTGCAGATATGTCATCGAAATTGTGCCTACAGACTCTCATTCGGTAGAATCTCGTATAAATGCTGGCTCCCTTCCGTAAACTAATGGGCATCGATGTTCTAGGCTAAATAAGGCGAACAAAATCCTTGCTTGTTATTTTGAGCTTGGAAATTGTCTGAGACTGCTCTGCTTGGTCTCTTGCAGGAAGTGCATATTCTACACGACTATAAAATTGACTTCTATGGCCAGGATGTAGGCATTGCAGTGCTGGGTTTCATTCGACCTGAAATGAAGTTCAGTTCCTTAGGTTGTGATTTCTTCTGTTCTCCTCTTCCTGCCATGGGCTTGCCTTCTTCTTGTGTTTCTATGGTAATTCTCTTATTGTTTGTTTCTTCCTTCAAAGGTTATCCTGATTTTGGTTCAGAATAATTGATTATTTGATACCGTAACCCATTCCAGATGCATTGGTGGAGAGGATTGGAGATGACATCAAGGCAGCAACATTGTATCTGGAAGAAGAGGTGCTGAAGTCGTATCAAACTGACAGGTTTTTCCGGATGTAACATGGCTTTTTCAGCGGCATCCTCCACCCCATGTTCTCTTTAAGGGACAACAAAAGGACATTGCAGCTTACAGTTGTCCATATATGTGCAATCATCAACCACTCTGGTTAGGTGTTGACCACGTATAGAAGTGATTGTAAGCAGTGTTGTATCACGTCGAGAGTGTTCAAGGTCGCGATTACTGAGAAATATGTAAAGAAACGCATATTTTTTGTGCTTTCGTCATAGATGAGCAGTCTGCCATAGATGCGTTGAACTGCAGCAGTTGTTTTTCTCACTTGGCATGTGCTAGATATACATGATTGGTGCAATGTTTTTTTTGGAAGAACTAGTTTTGTATCGTTGGGAAAGGAAAGGAAACATCATTATGAGCTGCTTGCCATGTAAACCAGACCTGAGTGCTCAACGTATGGTACAATCAGCTTCTTCTAAACAAACTTTGGAACTTGACTGCAAGAGTAGCATCTGTTGACCTTGACGAGAATGCCGCCGCTCCGTCTGTCAGGCTTCTGCAATGCTAGGCACGAGTTTTAGCGAGCATTGACCTAGTTTCTTCTTCATACTTGTGTAGTCAAACCACAAACACGTATGTAGTTCTTTCCTACAAATCCAAGCAAGGCATCCTTGCATAGCCCTACAGTAATTAACATTGCAATCTTCCCAGAGGGTTCTATTTTCCACCAATTGGATTGGTCTTTCAAAATCAATCTTCCTAGATTATTCTAATTTTTCTCAATTGGATTAGTGTTGCACAAGAAAGTTGAATTACTGAGGAGCATTAGTAATTTCTTGTTAAACCGCCAACTTTTATTGTAACAAATGTTTAGGTACTTCCCATCTTTTTAAGAGCTAAAGTAAAAAAAACTTTAAAAAGATGAGAAGAAAATAATTTTTAAGATATAGCAACTTTGACTTGGATTTTAGAGTTCTGATTTTTTTTGTAAAAAGATTTTGTACAGTTCTGAAAACACATTTGAATCCATTTCTGGTTTCTCTATTCTTAACATGTCATTGAATTGTTCTAAAACTATATATATTGGTAGATATGGAGGTTTTGACTATTTTGTTTTAAACCAATACCATCTTTACTTAAATTTTTAAGAAAAAAATAATTTTTAATAGAAAAAAATTATAAAATTATAAAAAAAATTTGTAGTAATAATTTCTATTACTAAAATATAGATATAGAATTGTTGAGGTATAAAACTTTTAGGACATTGTGAATGATTTCAGAGATCTTCTAGCTACAAATAAAAATCTTAAAATAATAGTTAAAAACCATTAGATTCTAGATATATTATTATTAGGATTTCTTTTAAATTAGACAATATTAATTTTACACATGCAATTCTATGCAATATGCAAATGAAAGCATAAAAGATACTTTGAAGCATTTATGAAACCAACAATATCTCAAATATCATTTTTATACATTGCAAATTCTTTGCATACAAGATAAAAGGTGAAGACTTAATTATATACATCACTTATAGGAAAAATTTATAAATTTTTATCTAATGAAGAAAAATTTTAAATTTTTCACTATTATACTAGTCCACTTAATATAAAGAGCATTAAGAAGCTTTTAAGTAATATCAGCAATTAAGACCTAAACCTAAATACAATAGTATTTTTATATAGGATGCATAAAAGGATTTTCAAATAGTGGAGTAATAATTGCAACCAAATTATCAAAGATTATACATTATGATGTTTGTAGACCAATAAAACTATATATATATATATATATATATATATATATATATATATTTAAATATTAAACAAATAAAAGACATCATGTTTTACAAAGTTTCAAAATTTTAAGGGATTTTTAGAAAAATAAATAGAATATAAAATTAATATGTTGCACTATGACAATAGAAGTGAATCTATGTCCAAATAATTTGATGTTTCTTAAAAATAATAAAGGTGTAATAAGTCAAATTCATATAGTATGTGCTTTATTTTTTAAAAAATGGAATTATAAAGTATGCTAATGGTTTTTTATGTGAGGATAGCCAGGCATATATTAAATGTTTATGTCTAATGTATGAGTTTTGATCATAAGCAGTAATAAATGGTGGATCTGCAAAATATAGATATCTTTGTATAAATAAGTCTTTAAAAAATTTAAAGTAGTAAAAATATCCATATCTTTTAATTTTGAAGACTTTTTAATGCATTGCAAATATAGAAGCACCAAATTGAATGAAGACTAAATTTGATACAAAGGATGCAAATTATATATAGTTTTAGATATTTTAGAAAATAATCCTTATATGTTAATATTATTTCAAATTAAGAATATCATAAAATTTTATTTTATAAAAAAATCCAAGTATAAAAATTGCTTAAAAATACTTAGAAATATATTTAAATAAAATTTATTCTATGATTGTAAAATCATTGATTAATAATATTGACTTAAATAAATAAGATGGAGCATACACAACAAAGCAAGAAAAACATGGAAAGCAAAAGAAATATAAAAGAAATAAACAATTGAAGAAGGTAAGATTATTACTAGATTTTTAAATTTAATGATATCAAATTTTCCAATATTAAAAAATTTAAGTTCTCAAATTATAAATATTCTAGAAAATAAATAATTGTACAAAAATTATTCTTTCCAATAGTAGTTTGAAATTTTGATTTGATTATTTGTTGAAGGATAAAAATCTAAAATATTTAATACTTTCTACTAATAAATTAAAGAGTTTTTTTAAAAAATCTTTATATAAATAAAGATTTTTAGTTAAAAATTTATCAATCAAATGTTGATAATTTAAATAAATTAATATATATATATATATATATATATGTTAGTAGTTTTTATTAAAATTAGTATTTTATATAATAAAAATTATATTATTTTGGTTAGAAAAACCAATATCAATTAATATAATTTTAAAATTTTAGATTAAATTGTTTATCATTAACTATACAAAAAATAATAACCACAATTATTGGAAAGTAGACAAAGGTAAAAAAAAATTTATATAGTTGATGATATAGGTTCTATGCTTAAGAGTAGATATCAAAAGAGTATTAAAATAGTTGAATAATTTTACAAAATTGATATTATATTAAAAAAAAATATCAAAAATTTCAGTCTATTTTTTTATATCCAAAATATTTTTTTAGAAGTCATGTTGTATTTAACAAGAAAATAATTATATTTAATTATTTTAATTAAATATATATATTCATACTTTATATTAAAAAGATTATTTGTGAAATCAAAGTTAATTAAATTATTAAAATTATTAATTTAACTTTAAGAATAAAAAATCTTTAATAAAAACTTAAATAAAATTTATTTAAAATAACAAATCAACAAGAATGGGATTAAGAATAGAATACAATAAAGGTATTGACAAAAGGAAAATGGTCTTAGTTTTGCCTCTGTATATATTAGCTTATATAAAGATCTTATAGAAGCATCCTACAGACCTCAACGCTAATAGCTTTTACATCCAATTTGTATGTGCATTTGATTAACAAATAATTTTATAGTACAATTTGTAATAGTATTTAGTTAATTAAAGCAATAAGATCAATAAAATAAATTAGCATAGATATATATATATATATATATGTATATATATGTATGTATGTATATATATATATATATATATATATATTCTGTTAAAGCCACACCCTCTCCTTCCAACCTCATCATTTATTATGTATTTGTCTTTTGTTCTCAATCCCATTCCCCACCAATGTCTTTCCTTCCTAGCTCAACACTCCCCCCTCCCCCCATTTCCACCTTATTCTAATCCCACCATGTCTTATTCCTATGCAATCTCAATCCTACTCCGTCTCCACTTCACCACATTCCATCTCCACACAATTCTGACCCCACCTCATTGAAGTCACAAATTATAAAAGTAATAACATGCATAAATAATACATAAAATAATTTTGCATTATTATTTTAGAAATTTTTGGTCATAAATCATATTTGTTTATAATGATAAAATTTCTGGAATTATTCTTACTTCTATTTAAATAATTAGATTTATTTTATTATGATTCTTATTATATTTGGATTTTTGCAACTCAACCTATTTCAAATCTAAAACCACATATCAATTTAATGCATTTCATTGGTTAATATCATTTTAAAAAATCATTAAATCAAATTATTTCTAAATATAGAATTTAAAAATTAAATTTTAAATATTTATTATAGCTAAGAAATAATTGAATTTTATGATAAATATTTGAATAACAATCTTTAAAATAATTAGATTTTTTAAATATTTATTAATCACAAAATTTAATAATTTTAAATTAATATTAAGATTTAATTTAATTTTGATGTAATTTTAATATTATTCATCTACAAAAAAATTATAATATAATTTAAATAATAAGATTAGATTATTAAAAATTTAATACCACAAATGATAATAAATATTTTTATTCTAAATTCAAAAAAATTAAACCTGATTATGAGATTTTTTATTTCATATCTAAAATTAATTATATTTAAAAATATGAATTTAAATTTCAAAATTAAAATTAATTATTTATTTTAATTAAATAAAAGTAACTAAAGATGAAGAGGAGGAGATAGAGTGCAATGGGAATGAGATTAGGTTGGCATGGAACTGTGGGAGGCTGGGACGAGGTAGAGACAATGTGAAGTGAATATAGGTATTGGACTAAGAATGACAGATGGAGGCTACAAATGGGCTTGGAGACAAAGAAGGGATGTAAAATGAATCATGAAATAGGAAAGGAAGTGTGGCTTTAACAAAATTGAGATGTGTCTTTAACAACTTATATATATATATATATATATATATACATACATGTACACATATTTATTTTAGAATTTTACTAATTTTTATCACAAATGAAGTATTAAGTATGAGATTATGATATTTTTGTTCGTAGGTTGTAATGGTAAAAAAGCCATCTATGGATAATAAAAATTGGCACAATGGTTTATTAACATATTTAAAAAGCCATATAATACCTTTGAATAAATGCATGATATTTTATTGAAACACAATGGCATTAAGTTAACACTAATCTCAATAGAACCAATGACTCTTTTATTCTTCTTAAAAATTCATCTATAGTCATTTATATATTCAAAAAGATTGCAGAACTTTGTAAAACTATTGGCACTTAAGATGTGACTATACAAAAAATTGATCACTTGATTCAAAGAAAGACCTTAAAGTCCCTCTCATGGCTTTATATGTGTCTAAAATTTTCCTAAGCACCACTTAATATCCTACTTTTGCTATGGTGCCACTATTAATTATCATAATAGCTTTTATTGGCACAACTTTTCTTGGAACATTTGTTAACGTCATTACAATATTAATATAATATATTATCTTTAAAAAAAATAGAGTTGGTATAAAAAATAATTTTGACTTAGTTGAAAGTATTATTTTTTATTAATTCAATTTTAATTTTTAAAATCATAATTA